TTAGAATCCACACAGCTTGACATGCAGTCATAGCGCCTGCGATATATTCAGCTTCACAAGTTAACAGTGCAACAATAGGTTGTTTCTTGGAACACCAAGAAATATGACCTCTTAGAAACTTAAACAAGTACCCCAAAAGTACTTTTTCTGTCAACTCTGTCTCCACACCAATCAAAATCTGAATAACTCAGAAGTTCTAATTCAGCCTTTCTTCCAGAAAGGAATAACACTCCATACTTCAGACTTCCCTTGATATACCTTAGAATTCTGATAGCAGTTTGGTAATGGAACCACTTAGGTTTACTCATGAACCTATTAACCATTCCAACTTCATAGTAGATATCAGGTCTGGTATTACACATATACCTCAGAGAACCAACCAACTATTTGAAGGTTGTAGCATCCAGTTTCTGATTTGTATCTATAGGTGTGATTGCAGCCTTATAGTTCTTCAGCTTAAATCTCTTCAGAAGCTCAAGTTCATACTTCAAATGATGCAGAATGATACCCTTCTCAGAGTATAAAAACTTCATCCCTAGAAAATATGTCATTTTCCCGAGATCAGTCATTTTAAACTCATTCATTAGCACCTTCTTGAACTTAGCTATCTCACGTTCAGAACTTCATGCCAGCAGTATGTCATCAACATACAAACACACCAAAATCATATTGCCTTCAGAAGTATGCTGAACATAAACACCATACTCCATCTCACATTTATGAAACCCCTGCTCCTTGAAAAATGAATCAATCTTCAGATTCCAGACTCTGGGCGCTTGCTTCAATCCATACAAAGCTTTATATAATATGTACACCATCCCTTCCTGATTCTTTTTAACAAATCCAGGAGGTTGTGACACATATACCTCTTCTTGTAACGAACCATTCAGAAATTCAAATTTCACATCTAAATAAATCAGAGGCCAATTCTTGTTAGCAGCTATTGCAATCAACAATCAGATTGTTTCATGTCTCGCTACAGATTCAAACACTTCAGAATAATCTAGCCCAGGTTTCTGCAGAAATCTTCTTACTACTAACCTAGCTTTATGTTTGCCAATTGATCCATCTGGATTTAGCTTCTACTTGAAAACCCATCTGACTCTGATGGCTTTCTTGTCCTTTGGAAGTTCTGTCAGCTTCCATGTCTTGTTCTTCTCTATGGCATCAAGTTCTTCTTTCATGGCCTTCAACCAGACTTTTTCTTAAGAGTATCTTTCGTGCTTACTGGTTCAAAGTCTACTAACATGGCACATTGAATAACTTCTCTTTCAGAATCTACTTCAGTGTCTTGTAGCATGTCAAACTCTGCAAATATTCTCAAAATGTTTATGATTCTTTGTGACCTTTAACCTTGTTCAGAATCTCCTTCGGATGCTTGAACTCCAAATGTTCTATCTTTAGAAGCTTCTCCTTCAGAAGTTTGACCTCTTCTAGAACCTTGACCACCTTCAGAGTCTGAAATATTTCCAGAATCTGAATCCCCACCAGAATCTAAATCACCATCAAAATCTAGATCAAAATCATCTTCACCTTCTAAGTCTCCTTTAGAGTCAAAATCATCATTAGAGTCTACTCCAGCTTTAGAATCTTCTCTAGTTTCTGACTCATCTTCAGAGACTTCTAATTCTGAACTTTCTTCATAGGTTCTCACATCAGAGTTCAATTGAGACTTGTTCTAATCCCAAGTTTCTAATTCCTTTACAATGACATCTCTACTGAATTCAACTTTATTAGTTTCTGGAAAATAGAGCTTGTACGCACCATTATTGTGGTATCCTACTAGTAACATTACTTTGCTTCTATCATCCAGCTTCTGTCTTCTGGCTTCTGGAACATGTTTGTAGCATATATAATCAAATACCTTCAAATGGCTAACACTTTTCTTATCTCCAGTCCACTTCTGAATAGGAACTATTTCCTTCAGCTTCTTCGTTGGACATCTGTTGAGCACATATGCTGCGGTGACAAGAGCTTCTCCCCATAAGGCACAAGGAAGCTTTTTCTCCTTCAGCATGGTTCTCGCCATATCAAGCAAAGTACGATTTCTTCTCTCAGCAAGACCATTGTGTTGAGGAGTATAAAGATAAGTAACCTCATGCTCAATTCCATTCTCCTCATAAAACTTTCTAAACTCAGTGGAGTTATACTCACCTCCACCATCGATTTTGAGAATCTTTAGAGTCTGACCACTTGAATCTCAGCCTTCATTCTGAACTTCTTGAATTCAGCAAACACCTCGTGTTTGAACTTTATAAGGGATACCCATGTAATTCTTGTGAATTCATCAAAAAATGACACGAAGTCTTTATTCCTTCAAATCGATGCTATTGGAAATGGACCACACACATCAGAATGCACTACTCCCAAGACATGTTTTGCTCTTAGAGCTACTTCTGATGCAAATGGAAATCTTGGTTGTTTTCCTTCCATGCACACTTTGCATGACTTCTCAGGCTTCTTAATTGTAGGAATTCCATGTACCAGCTTCTTCGAATTCAGATGCCCTAAGCTTCTGAAATTTAGATGACCAAATCTTCTATGTCACAACTCACTTTCCTTCACAACACGTGGTGCACTAAGACATCCAGAGTTTGCAGTTTTTACATTCACCTTGAATGTTCTATTCCTTCCCTGTTCTGACTCCATAATCAGCTTCTGATTACAGTCATACAACTTCAGAAGGTTGTCCTTCATGGTAAATGAAAAAACTTTCTTAATTAGTTGCCCCACACTCATCAGATTTCTTTTCATGCCAGGTACATACCACACTTTATGAATCAATGTTGTTTTCCTATTGTTCAGAACAACTCTGACATTTCCGATACCTTTAGTGTTGAGGTATTTATCATCAGCACATCTGATTTTTGTCCTCTTACCAGAGTCAAAGTCAACCAGTCATTTCTTATTTCCAGTAAGATGATTTGAGCAGCCAGTGTCCATATACCACCAGTATGTCAAATCTATATCATCAGATTCAGAAGCCATCAGTAGCACAAATTCATCATCATTCTAGCTATATTTGCTTTTTCTAACTTCCTCTCCTTGTTTAACCAGCAATCAACATCAAAATGGCCAAACTTCTTAAATAGTAGCACTGAATCTTCTTCTTGTGATACTTCTCTTTTCCCTTCTGAGCATTCTTCTGCCTATTAGAAGTTGAAGTTTCTGACTTCTGAACATCATCAGATTTTCTCCTGGCTTCTGACCAAGACTGTTTCTGATGCTTCTTACCAGAAACTGTTTTCAGAGTCTGCTGCTCTACTTCCCTTTCAGAAGTTCTCTCAGTCAGACGCAACTCTTGTGCCTCTAGACTACTTTGCAACTCTTCAATTCTCATGGTGCTTAGATCTTTAGAATGTTCTATTGCTACCACAATGTAATCAAATTGAGGGGTAAGGGATCTCAATACATTCTCAATGATTACTTGTTCAGAAAGGGTTTCTCCATAAGCTTTCATCTCATTAGTGATTATAATCACTCTAGAGATGTACTCAGATACCTTCTCGTTGTTCTTCATGTTGAGATTCTCATACTGCTTTCATAGGGACTGAAATTTCACCTTCTTCACCGATGCGTCACCACCATAACATTTGACCCGTGTATCCCACGCAGCCTTTGTCGTCGTTGAAACAACGATTTTCTCAAACACATTTGCATCCACACACTGATGGATGTAGAACAATGCTTTCTGATCTTTCTTCCTAGTATATTTAAGCACATTCTTTTGTTTCTCCGTTGCATTTGTTGCTACCGGAACGTAACCTGTAGTGACAAGATCAAGCACACCTTGAGCACAGAACAGTACACGCATCTGAATCATCCAACGAGTCCAGTTTTTTCCATCAAACACTGGAAGCTTGGTGCTCAGACCACTATTTTCGTTCATCTTTAACCTTGTGCAATCACTCAGATCTCACCAAACACAGTGTTTCTCAATCCCGCAGAATAAAAAAATGCGATTCTGTTACGATTTTGTTCAAGATTCAACACGAATTCAAGAAACGAAATCAACCACACAACGCCTCACCATTTCACTGGTGTTTCCCCGTGGATCCGAACCGAGATTCTAGATACCAATTGTTGGTGCACAAGGTTAAAAGAAATGAATATAATGAGAGAATATATTTCTACTTTGCAAATGACGACTATAAAAATTGTAAGGAAGAATTACAAAATGACATCTACCACTAGTCTATTTATACACAGAAAACTAGAGTCACAAAAACAACATACTAAAGTACTAAATTATCATCTAACAAAACTTAATCACTAAATTTTATAAAATATAAATCATTTCTAACAATTTTAAGAGACCAAAGTGTAATATATTTTCGTTAAAAAAACTAAAGTAAAACATTAAATTAAGTAATAAAAAAAAAGTTAATGACCATGAATGTTTTTAAACTTTGAAGTCGAGTGTTTGACTTTCATTGATACCAATTTTCATGTTTCAATTTTTTTATTAAAAAAAAAAAAGTTAGAGTTGGAATTTGAAGCTTTGCCACCGTCTAAATAGCAAAATATGACCATTAAAAGTTTTCATTACACAAAGCAACAAAGAAATAATATTCATGAAATATTCTAAAATACACGTAAGGCCTCCAACAAAAACGTTCTAGCACCGCCACAAGTTGGCACGACCACCCAGGTCCATAATTCAGCTATAATGACCGAAAAGCCCTTCTTGAATATTCACACTATCATAAAAAATCACAAGGATCCTTCAATAAAATAGAGTCCATTTATTTACTACACTGTCGTAATTGATTCCAAAGCTGGCTTATGACAGACACTTATATCAAATCAAGTTAGTTCAACAACACACATTACACTTGTGGGCCTTCAATCCCATAATTCTGGTAGAAACATTTAATTTCCAGCATAATATCTTCGTTTCTATGTATATTTATACACCCAATTCAGCTAGAATCTACAGATACGAAAAAGGAAACTTCGCAGTAAGAGTAGTTTCAGTGCTTAGTTAATTCAAGCGATCAATGGAAACAGTACAGAACGTGAATGGATCAGGATTAGAACATGCAAGTACAAGAGTCGTTGGAAATGATGTTGTCACAGAAACTGAACTCAGCAAAATTCGTCTTGTGAGAAACTTTGTTGAAACACATGATCCATCTTCTAAGGTACTGCTACTAACTAGCTTAATCTTTTCACATGTTTCATATTTCGTTTCTATAAAGTTGTAGTTATTTGAATGATTCATGGTTTAGTATATTATTAATTATTATTACTCTAATTTCATAGGTTGAATATTATGTAGTGGAATGTGGAATCCAATTTTCTTGATAGTTTATATAATAATAGTCAATTTGTGATGATGGTAGTGTTTTTGAATCCTCTATTATGAATATTCATCTTTTACTAATTCAAACAAAACTTCATTCATAATAGTTTGTCTGCAAATGAAAAGAAAAATGAAAACAGGAACATAAAAAATAAAAAATAAAAAATGAATGATGTTTATCACATATATATGTAATACTCAAGTTTCTTTAATAATAATGAATACTTAATTAATTTCTTAATATATTTGTTTTGGTTTTTTCTCAAAAATGTCATTTTGACACTTATTCTACATCTAAACCTACCGTGTATTATACAAAATCTCCTTGTAAAATTTGATCTAATTCAATACTAAAAAACAAATTTATAATGGGAGAGAAATTACTTTATATAAATTCTTTTAATATTGAATTTAAGATCTCGCGTCCATTCAACATTTTTTTTGAGTTTGGTGTATGAATATAAATAGTAGGTGATTTATGGTTCGATCGCGATAAACTCTTATATTATATTTGAGTTGGATGTAACTCAACTCTACAAAATAAAAATAAATTAATAAAATAAAGGTACTTTATATAAACTATTTAATGTTTTATCTCCAACCAAATCAACATAGGATTTAGGATTGTTCACGAATTTCTTTTTAAAAGTTTTTAAATATTTTTAGAACCAACTTTATTTAAAAAATTGTTTAGTACAATTTGTAATTTGTTTAAAATATATCTTGATAATGCATACATTTGTCGAAAAATATTTTATTTATTTAACAATACCGTTCAGACGGACACTAGCGTGTTTGTCTGTCCGTTTTTTATAATATTCATGCGCGTAAAATATAGATCGTATTGTTATTTTTATTTTATTATTTATTATTTATAAAATAATAGTAATAAATAATGGTATAAAATTTAATAAACCGTCACATAACCACATTTTGTTAGAAATAGAAGTTAAATTTTAAAATAAAAATTGAAAAGGATATATTTTAAAAAAAAGGCTTAATTGCAACTTTGGTCCTCTTATTTTATCTTTTTTTGAATTTCAATCCCCCATTTTAAAAACTACGTTTTTCATTTCTTTTTTAAGTTTTGTTTTTTTATTTTAGTCCCTTTAAAAATTTGGGAGCAGCTTTTAGTGACATGTCACTTATTTGGATAATGTGGCAAATTCAGATTTATTATTTTTATTATAATATTATATTAATTTATTTAGAATGTTTTTTTAAAATTAAATTTAATATAACTTATAAACTTTTTAAAACCATATTTTTTTATTAAAAGAAAATAATTAACTCATTAAAGGGTGGAGAGCAGCCAATTGAAAAAAAAGAGAGGCTAGAATGGATAGAAAATAAAAATAGAAGAAAATTCAACCATGAAAAAAAAATGCAGCAACTTTTGTTCTTCATTGATCCTTCTTCCTCCTTATCATTCCTTAATCATCAAAACTCCATCTCTTTCTTCATTTTCATTCAATAATGATCAAAACTTTTGCTTCTTTATTATCAACACAATATCACCAATAACAACAAATCATCAACTACAATTTATCTTCAATAACTCACAACAAAAAAATATACACTTAACAAACTTCAGTCACAAAAACAAAATCTTTTTCCTCATCCATTATTCAAATCAACAACTCACACAACCATGAGGAATATCAACATCAAACTCATAACTGAAAATTGAAACTAAACAAAAAGAAGGGGAGGAAGAGAGAAATCGACGAACCGCACATACCCACCACCACATGGCCTCCATTCTCAGCCATATTCAGACTCTTTAATCGTGTGCAGACCCACCGCTTGATTCCGAAAAATATTCCGATTTAACATAAATACCACGACAATCTTACAAATTTGAATCCAAAATCTTAATTTGTTTCTACATGGCTATTGAATCCAAACTCTAAACCCATATGTTGATCCTAATACCAAAAAAAAAAATTGAACAACAAGATAAGAAGAAGAAGAGAATAAAACAACAAGATTAGGTTACAGATCTGGAGATTAGTAGAAGATGAGAGAAATTGTTAGATTTTTTCATTTTGGGGAAGAACAACTTTTCTGAAAACAAGGAAAACATGTTTTTAGGAGAGAATGATAATGAATATCACATTGTAAATTAATTAGTATATATTATGGAGTTAATTTTAGTTCATTATTATTAATATATATTAATGAAAGGTTTTTAAATGAATTAACATTAAAAATTTAATAAATAATGAGCTGGAAAAATTAATTATAACTTGATATTGGCACATCATCAAAATAAGTGTCACATCATCAAAAAGTCATTTCCATATTAGTCAGGGGATTAAAATCCAAAACAAAACTTAAAAAATGGACCAAAAACGTGATTTTTAAAATGAGAGGATCAAAACTCAAAAAAAGACAAAATAGAAGGGTCAAAGTTATAATTAAGCCAAAAAAAAGAGGCTACACCAAAATCATATTTTACCTTTATATATAGATTATATATAGATATAGATTATATATAGCAGTATTATCTCGTACAAAAATATGACTTTTACATCAGTAGTAAAAACAATAACTCACCCTATGATCGGCTCCAATAATAATCCAATACCAAGACATAGTGCTTCTAAATATGAACCCAATTGACCCTCGTTTTAATCGTGTTTGCAGGAAGAAGATGATTTAATGATTAGAAGATTTCTTCGTGCTCGTGATTTAGATGTGGAAAAAGCTTCAGCAATGTTCCTTAAATACTTAAAATGGAGACATTCATTTGTTCCAAATGGTTCCATATCTCTATCACAAGTTCCTAATGAAATTGCAGATGACAAGGTTTTTGTCCAAGGACACGACAAGATTGGTCGTCCCATATTTATTGTCTTCGGTGGAAAACATTTTCAAAAGAAAGATGGTTTAGAAGAATTTAAACGTATGTTTTCTTATCGAGTAGTTTAGTAGTTACACTCATACGTCTGAATAATGTTATGCGATTTGTGAAGATAATTTTTATCCTTAAATCTTGTTAACATTGAAGATATATTATTGACAAACAATTTTCTTTGTGATACAGGGTTTGTAGTTTATATTCTTGATAAACTATGTGCAAGGTAATTTCTTATTTCATTACTATAGATTCAATTTTTAAAACAGTGAATTCAGTTATTAACATATATATTCTTTTTTGATTTGTCAGTATGTGTGATGGGCAAGAAAAGTTTGTTGCTATAGCAGAACTCAAGGGATGGGGTTACTCAAATAGTGATGTTCGTGGATACATTACTGCACTCTCTATTTTGCAGGTATATATATACTTAAAAAGATTGATTTTGTCGTAAAAAAAAATTAGTTGAAGTAATCGAAAGTTTGAACTTATGATTGTGAATTTTTTGGATGAAGGATTACTACCCTGAAAGATTGGGGAAGTTGTTTATTCTCCATGCACCATACATTTTTATGAAAGTCTGGAAAATGGTTTATCCATTCATTGACAACAAAACCAGAAAGAAGGTGATGCTTTAAATTAAAGTTATATCTCAATGCATATATTTTAAAATATTTATGAAGATGAATTGGATCTTCTTGCAGATAGTATTTGTGGAAAACAAAAAGGTGACATCAACACTTGTAGAAGAAATAGACGAAAATCAACTCCCTGAGATATACGGTGGAAAATTGCAATTAGTCGCTATTCAGGATATCTAATTAGCAGTGACTAATTAAGAGAGACTATAAAAAATCTATTGTTTGACTATTTTCTTTTATTTAAGTAATTTATTGGGTTAAATATGGTATAATATATAAATAAAAAATGGGAGTTCATTAGACTAATTTGTTTCGAAAGTAAACATTCGTGTGTAATGATCAGTCATGAAATTCTTCTTTGTAATATTAGTTGATATATTTATCTTATATATGATGGCGAGAATAAAATAGTCAATTTGATTACAGACTTGTGATTAATTTTTAATTTCTACATTAGTGTTAATTGATTTTCGGGAGTATATCAACTATAATTGAATTATGTTTGTAGCTTTTCTTTGATATCTATTCTAGTATGAAATAGAAGATCGATAATATAAAGAGAAGAAGTTCTTTCGGTTTAGTGGTACGAGTCTCTGATGCGGTGAATTGGGGTATATATGCAAGGTTGACACTCTAACGCTCAAGTAAATGACATCAAAGAAGTGTACCTTTCCTAGAGTGAATGAATAAATACATGTTTATGGCCTGTGACATGGCTTATATACACATATCAATTAAAATTGCTCTTGCTTCACTCAACATGAAGTGTGTGTAGTCGTTTGATTAGATATGACGGATGATACTAAGCAAGTAGGTGAAATACGGTGTAGCACCTTCTAGTGAGAGTCTGCTTGTTCGTATTATGTCTAGAGGGTTCTTCGATTGGGCCTCTTGAATTCAGCCAGCCTTATTAGGTCGTTGGGCTAATCCTAAGTAGTCGTCTCCCAAGTTCGTGCCTTCATTCATGAAGTTAGGATAATGAGCCATATTGGGGTCGACCCCTTTGACCGTCTTCGCAGGTCGTCCCACGACCCCTGAGTAGAACCTCACTTTGTAGTTGAAGATCTAGAGAGTGATGGTAGTTGGTCTTGGAAACAAGCACATTAAATTATTGTCTAATAGGTGAAACATCTCTCTTTTAAATTCTCCATGTGGCCATAGATTTTGAGGTGTAAGTGGTCTTTTTTAAAGTTCTCGCATGTCGTGAGGATCGAGGCCAATATGGGATTGTTGGTGTTTATAATTCATCTTCCTCAATCTTTGTTCACTAGTTGTTGGGTCGTCTATCACCAATATATAAAGGCTAAATGAAAGACCCACTACGCCAAAATTGATTTTTGGCAGCACTACATAGACAACACTTTTACCCCAAAGCGCTGCTATAAGTTTTAAAAAAAACTATGAAAAAACGCTGCTAAAGGCCTTACATAGGCTACACTTTAGAAAGAGATTTGGGAAATCTCTTCTAAAGGCTCCCTTTAAAATCACTTTTGAAAAGCACTGCTAAAGGTCATTCATAAACTCAACCATAGAAAGCGTTGTTATAAGCCTATGAAAAGAAAGCACTTTTAATGAAAAAGCTCTACTAAATTGAATACATAAGAAAGCGCTTTCTAAAAGCGCTGCCTTAGGTTGTTAATTTCTGAAAAGTAAAAACAGAAACACGTTAATACTCTAGAACCCTAACTTTCTGAAAAACAACTTTGATACTCTCTCTCTCTCTCTCTCTCTCTCTCTCTCTCTCTCTCTCTCTCTCTCTCTCTCTCTCTCTCTCTCGTTTCTACTCCCTCCGCTGTATCTCCCTCATGCAAAGCTACTCCATCTCTTTGGTTTCCACCCATTCCTCTGTAACTCCTCTGTTTCGTAACTCCATCCGTCGGCCGTATCTCCCTCTCTTTGCAACTCCCTCTGCCGTAAATCCTATTATTTTGTTTCGAAACTCCTTCATTTTGAGCAAGGTATTTCTTCTTTTCCTTTTTTGGATTCACAAGCCATAGAATAGATTGTGATGTTGTTGTTATTTGAATTCAATTGAATATTAAATGACAATGTTGGTGAATTAGTGTTGAATGTAATACTCCACTTCCCAAAACAAATAAAATATAAACATTATAATTGAACATCATAGTTTTCATCATTTACAGTGGGATATCACATCACCAATAAGTCATCAAAATACTTTATTGATTATTTTCAAAATAATACAGCGGAAATTATCATTTCAACATTCTTGGCCATCTGCCAGATTTCATAAAATCTCTATTATTATAATTCACCAAAATGTGATACGTCACAGGATTACAACAAGTTTGACGCAAAAACAATTAAAACACCCATATCCCGTGTTACGTATCAGAGCACCCTAAGACTCGACCTGTACACCGCTATCCAAGCTATCTATGTACCTGGATTATCTGTACTTCCAAGGAAGCACAAACCACAACAACAAACAACAAAGGGGTGAGAATCACGATCAAATAATAATGGTATAATAGTACATGAAATAAAAGGAAGAATCTATATAAATCATTTCACATGCATATCAATCGGGCTAACTGTCCCACCATTAATCACAACATACAATCACGCAACACGTGCGCACACACACACCCCGAAACATACGGTATCGACTCATTCGTCCGTCAAATTCTCCTAGGAATCAAATATAACCATCGCATTAAGCGAGGTTCTGCAGATCCTACACGGGATCAATTATAACCATCGCTCACACCCCACAAGGGCACACGAGGTTCTGCAGATCCTACACGGGATCAATTATAACCATCGCATCAAGCGAGGTTCTGCAGATCCTACACGGGATCAATTATAACCATCGCATCAAGCGAGGTTCTGCAGATCCTACACGGGATCAATTATAACCATCGCATCAAGCGAGGTTCTGCAGATCCTACACGGGATCAATTATAACCATCGCATCAAGCGAGGTTCTGCAGATCCTACACGGGATCAATTATAACCATCGCATCAAGCGAGGTTCTGCAGATCCTACACGGGATCAATTATAACCATCGCATCAAGCGAGGTTCTGCAGATCTTACACGGGATCAATTATAACCATCGCATCAAGCGAGGTTCTGCAGATCCTACACGGGATCAATTATAACCATCGCATCAAGCGAGGTTCTGCAGATCCTACACGGGATCAATTATAACCATCGCATCAAGCGAGGTTCTGCAGATCCTACACGGGATCAATTATCTCTAGATTGTCCATCATAATGCCTTTTATGCAAAATGACTCACGACATTTCTCTACGTGCATACATATTCGTAATTACATTACTATGCGTATTCACCTCACTTAGGTACCTACAATCTATGTGCTCTCATGCTAATCTATCATGCATTTCCATTCAATTCGGACAAACGCTTAAAATTGCCAAACGGCCACTAATTCCCGATAAAAATTGACTTCTAGGATTCACGCCATTCGGCTACCCACAGCACATCACAAACCAGCACACCAACTTTTAAATCAGAGAAGGGTCGATCGCAACCGGAACCCCAAGCCACAACAGCATACAATCAGCAGAGAAAAATCACTCTGCTACGTTCGCTACACGCTCGCCTAGCGAGCTGCTAGCGAGCGTTCGCTACCTCCTCGCCTAGCGAACTGCTATCGAGCACAAACAAAAGCTACATACCTCGTTCGCTACCTCGTTCGCCACAGCGAACCCCCAGTGAGCTCTTCGATACTCCCTTCGCGGATAGCGAAGGAGACCAAAACACCACTGTCCCAAGTCTGGGACCGTTCGCTATACGCTCGCCTAGCGAGCTGCTAGCGAACGTTCGCTGCGTGCTCGCCTAGTGAACTGCTAGCGAGTCGCCTGCGAACAACAATATTCAGTTCTGCTCCAACTCTTCCAAACTCACCGAAATCACCCGATTAAATCCAATGTTATTCCAATAGCCTTAGCCTAACATATATCGACTAATATACGGTATCTAAACACGATTCTAACCGTTAAATAACGATTTCTATCGATTAATCCAACTTCGACCTAAAAATAGAAAGTATGGAAAACTACCAAACGATTCCAATCTAGCACATATATGACCTTATACATTATTAAGATGATAAACATTCTCACCCTTACCTGATTAATTGCAAGCTTTGGTTGATCTTGATGATTTTCGAAGTTTCCTCTTCTTTCTCCTCTTTTTCTCTTCTCCTTCTTTCTTTCTCTTTTCTTTCCTCCCTTTCTTACTATCTCCCTCTTTCTCTTCTATTTTCCTCTTTTATATCTTTTCCATTATTTTTCCAAAACATCTACTAATTTAATATCTCATAAAATATTCCACTTATCATTAAATAGGAAATGTCTAAAATACCCTCCAAAACTATTCTCTCCGAAAACTCCCAAACTCGGTTAAAATAGGATAATATGTAAACATAACATATTTCCACGCAAATTCCGCCTCAAAATAATTATTCGCCCAATTAAACCAAAAGGACTCAACAAAAAAGGAATAATCGAAATCGGGGCGTTACAATTCTCCCCCACTTAGGAATTTTCGTCCTCGAAAATATCTCCTGGTTCAAATCATATCGGACACGACTTTCGCGCCCTCTCTCCGTTTCCCAAGTCACACATGATCGCCCACATGCATACTTCCATACTGCAATCATAGTTATGCCACGTGACTCATATAAACCCATCAATCCTCATCAGTCTCCATTGGAGATTGTGAGTACACCGCTTGCACCTCACCAGGAACGACATCTCGGTCATTCTACCCTGGTGATCATCTCACTAGGGACGAAGCATAGTCATAAAACTTATACCTCATTAGGAATGTCACTTAGTAATGTCCAATACACAAAGCTAAGCCCCACAAGAAGTCTCCCCATAACCAACTCATATCGCAAAATTGCTTAGCCAGTTCCAACTCTCTCTATCATCCTTTTCATCATATGCAAGGATCTTCAAATTACAGCATAAGCTACCATATTATCCTTTCCCGGATGATAATCTCAGTCTAAAACCATAATCCTTCTAGAGTTCCCAATTACTTTCTCTGTCTCACATACTACGCTTCCAAATTAAGCAGATACCTCAAGCTCTGGCAGTCACCATCATTCTAAAGCTCAAACTAACCAATTGAAGCCCCCAACTCGGGAACAACCACAACAGTAACCAACTCCAAATTACTTGTCA